GCGATATTAAATGGATGGCTTTCGTTCAATCACGGGAACGTCCATCTCGATTAACTTTGCAAAAAACGAGTGAAATTGCATCGTTGATATCCATTAATTCCTTGAAAAATCGGTAACGCCTATCTGAAAACCAGCGCTGAAAGCCGATTTTTGTTATATACATCAGAGCCAATTAACGACGAACGGATCGCGGCTTTTGTTGTTAAATAATTCAGCCCCAACGAGTCCTCGGACAAGCGCAGCTTTAGTTCCCCGGGGAAAAAATTTTTTACCTCCACTCCTATGTATACGGGTAAAAAAAGCTAAAAGAAAAGAACAAAAAAAAAGGGTGGGGGGTATAAACGAGGAAGGGAAATAGAGAATGAAAGGGAAAAACAACATCGTAATCGGACCGGCGATAACTTTTCCTCTCCAGCTTCGGCTGCCGATACATCGGAAATCGAAGAGCCGCCGAGGCGAGCCGGGGGGGAAATCCGGGGGGTGGCGGTAGCGAAGCTGCCGATCCGCTTATATTTCGTCGCACGGCGTGCAAATCTGTACCACTACGGGGGGACGCACAGTTGTCGCGAGCCTTTCAATTAGAGGGAAAGGCACGTAAGATTAGAGGGCTGGCTCGAAAGAGGAGGAGGAGGAGGAATGTAGCCGACGGGGCGGAGGGGAAAATGGCCCCGTCGTAGCCTGCAATCAGGTGCATCCTCGGCCGGCCGATGGGACGCTTAATTGGCACGCGCTACCCTACACACCGACCCATGATCTTTTTTCAACTCTCGCTGGTGGATTACCGATACGGCCCATCATTTACTTCGCTGTACTCGACGAATTACTATACCCCACACCCGAAAACAGTAGGGATACGTACCCAATGTAAGAGTTATTTTATTTCAAGGGCAGCTCAAGCAAAAAATTTGCCACTGGCGCAGTTAATAAGCACAAGTAATAAGATCCCGGGAGGGGCTTTGAAGGTGCTTTTTAATTTACCATAACCCGCTTAAGGCTTTTGATCGAGGGCCCGTTGAAACGTTAATTCATCGGAGCCGGGATTCATGTTTCGCTTTCTCAAATTTTCGCGAACTGTTAACGCAAACTCGTAATCCCTCTCGAGAGCACCTAATCACCAAACTCAAAGGGTGGTACTCCACTGTAAAATATAAATACCCACACATCCTACGGAGGTATATACATGAGGCGTACCTATATGCTTTGAAAGAACTTTATTTGAAGGGGAGTAGGGATCGATGGTGTGTCGGGCACAGCCCCGTTCGCGGGTAGGTATAGGTATATTATAAACGACGGGCACGTCGTAGTCAAAAGGATGTAGGAGTGAAGTGAACTCGGAGAAATCGCTTCGGCAACTCGAGCCTGGGCGTCAAGTCCGTGCAACAGCTATAGGCAAGTTGGCTGAAATATCTGCGAGGGGTAGGCGGTAGCGGTAACTCGAGAAATCGGAGGGGTACGTACGAGTAAGTAAGTAAGTAAGTAAGGGAGGAAGGAAGGAAGAAGCCGGGTGATTACACGTGATGGTGGTATATATATATACCCGTAGGTGCCCTTGTACGGAGCGAGCGAGGCTCAACAACCACCTACAGAGCGCGACGAGTTGGTTTAAGGAGAGTGAGGTGCCGAGAGGAGAAAACCACCGGCGTTCGACACTCTCTCTTGCATGCGCCCGTCGCCCCATGGCTTTATGGTGCTCTTATCTTGCCGGCAGCTCCTTTGCATCCAGGCGTCATTAGCGCGTACGTGGCACACGCGAATGCCGTAATTTTCCGAGGCGGACCGTGTGCGTGTGAATTATGCGCGACGCGCGCCACCCCCGAAGCCAAGCCGCTGTACGACATAATGCACAAGATCGCGTTGAGATCCAAAGCGAGAGGTCTACGTGTGTTGGAGCGCCAGTCCCACCCACAGTGCTGTACACACTAGTAGTTAGACGCGTTCATATACACAGCCGCCAAATCAGCTCCCACGACTTACTTACTTACTTACTTACCAACTCTGACTCTGATGAGATTATTCATGTGCACGTGTGTCGTATATTATATATGCACCTACATCACGCCTATACGCTTCTCGTGCGAGTATTTAGATAATCATCGTGCGGATAATTACTTACTTGCATATTAACCATTTTCCGTTTTTGCCTCCTTTTTTTTCTACGACCCCCTTCGTTTTATCTCTACGAGGTAATTCAGAGGTAAAGGGTGGCAGGCTCGCTATATAGCATCGGGAAACAGCTGGTAATGCCCGGCTTTAAATTTTTTCGGCCATTTAAAATGAAATCGTCCTATACCTTCAAAGATTGGGTACATTTTTTTATTATGTTGCGCAGACGAGCTTAAGGGCTGGAATTGGTCTAATGACAAATAATCATGCGTTGAATACAAAGTCGTTTTCGACCAATGTCACATTTGTTATTGAAGTATCACTAGGGTTGGGAGGTAGATAAATCGGTCCAACGTTTTATCTAAGTTTCCCACATCAAGGTGCTACAATCCCCTTTGCGATGTACATCCTGGTTAAATATAGGGAGGAAAAAAAACCCACGCCTGATCCAACGTACCTTGATTCCTCTAGGGCTTTGGACGGTTGGTACAGGTATACTCATCCACAGCGACTTTTTCCCCGTTATCGACTTGTACACAAAAGTAAACCTCATGCGTTATTTCGATGTACCGCAATATTGAAAAATCCGTGTCGAAGGCGACATATTTACCCGATTCATCGAACCGTTCAAATGGAGTTTCGGCTGATGGGGAGTAAGTATCGAAAGCCAGGGTCGGAGCTAACTCTCGGCCAAGACAAACCCAAACACAGCGGCGGATCTAGCGTTTAATGAACGGCGGGGGCGTCCCGATCGCGCAAAAGCCGAGGCTTCGTCAATCAGATATCGCGCGGCGCTCCCGGCAATGAGAGAAAGTCGCACGATGCTCCGCGTACATACCTCAAAGGGGCGCTTTGTACGTATATACAGCGCCAACCCCTCTCGCCGACAAAGTTCCGTCGTCGATTGGCGCGCGGAGTTTCCGTATTTGACGGCGAGTCGAGACTCCCGGGCGCTTCCGCTGATGACGGCAAAGCACCCCACATCTGCAGCCTCTCTTGTGCATAATAAATTCGCGACTCTCTATCTCTCCGCTCGGGTCGGAATAAAAGTTACTTTTGACGAGAAGCTTGATGGAAAGAAAAAAAAAAAAATGCTATTAACGCACCCCCCGGAGTCATAATACGTACACGTATGGCGATTGCAGGGTTCGTGATGTGCACTTATATATATACCGTTGTTTTATCGTGACGAGAAAACGAAGAAGAGGCATGGGGGGGAGGGAAAGTGGCCGGTTTGCCGTTGTTGCTGGCAGCGTATTTACCTTGGGAGGAGCACGTAAGAGAGTAGCGCAGCACGCGAGGATCGATTCGAGCCGCCAACTCTCCTTCTCCTTAGCTTTCTTTTAACGGTCGCGTGCTCCGTCGTTCTTTTTCCATCCTCGTCCCGTTTCCGCGTCGACGATACCCTCGGGGCTCCTCTTCCGCCGTCGTTGTATTTTCGGGAGGAGGGGCCAGTGAGGGTCCCCGAAGCGGAAAGGGGACGAGGCGAGAAACCGAAACCGGAATCTCCTCCACCAACTCGAGACACACCTGGTCCATCGAAATTTTTTATTGTAAAATTTCGGGTACTCGTCTCGCTCGTGCGGCCACAGGTGAGCTTTTGGAGATAGGGAAATAGTCATATTTTCGAAATTTCTCCGCGATAAAAGTCTTCCGGGCGCTTAGCTCGAACAAACAGCCTCGCTCTCGGATTCAGGGGGAAGAAGAATAGAAGAAAATCCGAGACCTAATGGAATCAATTTCCCATTTCTCTTCGCGCGAAACGACGCACCGTTAGGATCTCGATAGACGGTGCACGCCGAGAGCTGGCTGGGGAAAAAGAGGGGGGGGGGCGATGATATCGCGCGTGAGGATGATTGCGTCGGTAATTGACGACAGGGAGATCGAGATATTTCTTTTATTTTACTTTTTTTCGTCTCCGTCGATCCATGCGATATTCACATTATTCCGTGGAAAAGAAGGGACGAAAGTTTTATTACGTGTCGGACAAACTTTGCCCCCTGCGATGCACGGGTGGGCCGTTCATCAGCCAATCTATTGGCGCAAAAATTGTTTACGAAAACTCAGCCTCTTCCGAGTGTACATTGCTATCGTCCAATGACTTTTCAAGTATTCCATTACGCGGGGAGCCTTTCGCGGATTAACACGTAGCACTCGCCTGTGATGTATAGATGTGGCAGAGCTCCGCTGGTTCCCTTTTTTTTAGTCCCTTCCTCCCACGTGGAACGAAAAGTAAATATCGAGCAACTGATTTCACGCCGGAGTGGGTAAGGAAAAGTCAAGAGCCGAGGCGAAGCAGGCAAACACCCTCGTTTCTTTCAACGGGAAATTGTACGGGGCAAAATCGTACTTAAAATCAATACACGGCTACTTTTTCGAGGCGCTCGAGCCCTTTTTTTTCTTTTTGTCGTCGCAGGAAAAACAGAAATTTTCCCGCTCGAAATCCTTTTTCCACCCCCCCCCCCTTTAGCTCTTCAAATAATGGAAAATTACCTACCTACGTTCTTGTTTCTCGTTATTTTTTTCTTTTGGTGCTCGACAATACACTTTTTCCATCGAAATTCCAGCGAAATTCCACGCGAGACTGGTACCGCTGTACCGTGCACGATTACCGTTTTTTTGGTAAAAAAAAAAAAAAGACGTGAAATAAAAATTTTTCTTTCAACCGAATAATAAAAAGTAATTTCAAAAGGCCAACGTGACACGTACAAGCAGAGCTCCCCGGGAGACCGAGGGAGGGGGATCAACTTTCTTGACTTGACCTAGCCTACGCCGCCAAACACCCGAGTTCAACGCCTCTCGACAACACTCCAGTCCAGCGGCGGGGGGAGAAGACCTACGTGTGAATCGTATGTACCCTCGCCGAGTCGAGCCTCGTGTGTATGATATGTACCGACCTTGCGATTCCAGCACCTCGGCCGAACTGTGTCTGCTGCGTCCAAGTCCCCTTCTCCTCCTCCACGACCTCGGGCGTCGTTAATACGTACAAAAGTGACCTCTCACAGCGTCCCCCTTTGAAATCCAACTGGTGCACTTGTGTCAGTCCTTTTGCACATTATCACTCGTGCTCCCGCGAACTCGGAGGAAGCTCCGTCGACCGGTATAGTATCTCCTATCGCGTGCAACCGTGAAACAAAACAAGCAGGAGCTACCTCGGCCGTGTCACGGCGCTCACTGCGAAGCCGTAGTAGCGCACCCGCCCTTATAAGGTAGTTCCCCCACTCCCCGTAGCTCGCGCCGACCCCCTCCACTGCCAGCTACTGCCATTGCACGTATATACATATATAGCACCACTGCCTGCACACTGCCGTGCTACTGCTTTTCATCCGCCCTCTCGCGTCGCCTCGTGGCCGTGCCCGTGTGTACGTGGATACTCGAGCGCGAGAGGGCGCGTGTGTGTGTGTACACGTTCTCGTTGTAGCCGGCGCCTCCTTTTTTTCGGCGCGGCTCTCTTAGCTCTCTCTCTCTCGAGAGGGGCGTTGATACTGCCGGAAGTCGTTCGAATTATGACAATGCCAGCCCTGCTTTTTTGTCTTCTCTTTCTTCCTTCGTTTTTTTTTTTTTTTTTTTTTTTTCCTCCCCAATGGAGAACAGAGCTTTTAAAGCGACTGTACACGCGTCTCGCCTCATTGAATGCCCGTTCACTCCTTTGGGTAAGAATTGCCGGCGAAGGGAATTTTAAATATATCCACCCGTGTATACCGCTGTCCCGCGGCCGAAAGTCTATATGACAATCTTATTTTCGCCCTGTGCCCTCTTTCTTCCCTTCCTTTTCTCGTGTTTCTCTTATTCCGTATAACTGAGACGTCGGCCCGGCTCATGCATAAACAACACCAGCCTCTCATCCCCGGACGCGCGAGAAAAATGGCTAACGACGTCTAGCGAGAGCAGGGTATGGAAAAAAAAAAAAAAAAGAAAAGAAAAGACTATTCTCAGCACTCTGTTATCCTAATCGTCGAGGATTTCCCCCGCGCGTCCGAGAGATATTATCCCCTGGCTCTCGGGTGATAACGCGGGGGGGGGGGGAAAGCTCTCGGGGCAAGAATGGCCATTCGGGGCTGCCGCTATAAAAAAGGAAGAGGAAGAGAAAAAAACGAAATACACTGCCCCCGCAGTGGCCATCTCTCCTCCTCCTTCGTCCCTGTAGCCACCGACATCACGAGTACGCTATATATAGGGGCAGCGATCATCAGCCGAGGGACGGGAGCGCGTCTTGGATCGGACGGGGGAAGAGGGACACCCCATATAATCCCGTAACGACTCTCCATATATATCGCGCTGACGTGGACGTATGTCCACCTGTCGGGTCGGCTACGGTGCCATCGTTAATTTATCCATCATCCCCCTCCGTCCGGATGCCAAGGCGCACACGTGACGCTGGAAGATGTTGCCGTGTCACCCGGTGGAAATCACAAGTGTCCGCCCTGATGCGACCCGTTTGATAAGAATTTGTTCCCTCGGAAAATCGCCTTCAGTTTTTCTCGGGTGGATACTTACTTGTCCGGACTCGATTGGGACCGGCAGCTGAAATTCGATTTTAAGTAGTACAGGTCCGATTATTGTCAGACGCCCCTTAGGTTAACTAAAATTTCGGTTAAAAAGGAGTCAGGCGATATGATGGCGTTTCGAGAAAAAAAAAAAAAAAAAATCAGATTTTATTGTGTTTTGTTGTTCGTAAAATAATTCTAATAATCTACCATTATCGGTATGACGTCACTTTAACATATTGGTTGGCGAGAAAAATAACAGGGGCTGCAGGATTGGTACGCAGAGGGGGAGGATTACGGAAATAGTAAAGCGATCACTCAGAAGACAAATTTCAACAAAATATGTATTTATACGTGTATACAATATACATGAGCTCCTCACATGTTTGATAACAAAATAAGTTCACTTGGCTATTTTCTTTCACGCACAGCTATATTTTTTCAGTGTGCGGGAGTCGTTTGGATTTTTCATACTGGACTCACGCACTCGAATAACAATAAGAATCACATCACAAAATAGTAGTATAAATGTAACAATGGACGTAAACACCCTGCGATGCTCATTTGCGCTTTTTCATGCAGAATTACGACAAAAAAAAACATAAAGGAGATAAAAGAGAAGTAAATTATTACAAAAGAGATATAACAACAACAACAACAACCGAGAACATCGTGGTAACTCCATAGCGTCGCGCTGTTCTCGAGTTTCTTAAGCTCTAACAGAAAAATGCTCTCAATCACATTATCTCCCTTTCATGTGCTTTGCACCGTAGTTTTATGTCGTCGCGTATATATTTACGCGAGAAATCCCACATTTCATTTCATTAATTAAATCGCTTGGCTTACCATCGATATGTTACAATTGACTGGACGAAATAAAAAAAATCAAGGCACTCACGTAGTACGCGTAATTACGCGTGAAAAATTCATCGAATTTTCTATTTCAAGTTACCGTATAAATATATGTATATAATATGTACCTTTATAAAACTCCACGCTCGATTCGCTCGTCAGTTCATTGATCTCTGTAACTGAGCGAAAATAACGTTTCGCATGAATTCGCGTATCGCTATAAAAGTACCACTGCAAAAGTATACGTTTGTATAAAATCAATTCCACGCACACATGATTGCCCGTAGCTGTCAGCATCGCTGAGTATTGCACGAGATAATTAAAAACCAAGCCAAGCGATAAATTCACTTGAAAACAAAAGTGCACGTGTGCGTTTAAAATAGTAAAAGTTAAAAAGAAAAAAAAAAAAAAAAAAAAAAAAAAAAAAATTCATCGTGTAGACGCCCAGTGCGCGTGATTCGAGACGAAAAACCATTTACTCGCGGTTTATTGCATCAAAAATCGAATTCCGCCCTTTGTGCCATCACCGCGAGCGCGAACAAAGGAAGGGGGGGGGGGAAGGAGACGGGTGGGGAAGGAATGCGAAGACGTCCGACGGTATGCTCCTCACACGACGGAGTAATCCTCGAGCAGGGCGTCGCCAAAGTGAGTGACGACAAAGTCGTGGTAGTACATCATGATGCAGAGCGGCTGTCCGATTATCAAGCTCGCCCAGACGACGATGTTGCCCCAGCGATCGCCCCAGTGCTTCTGCACGTACTTGCTCAGGATCGATAGCGGAATCTGCCGGCAGAAATTTTTTTTTTTTACTTCGTAGAGCCTTAAAAATAAATCAGCGCTGACGTAGGGATTTTCCAGGGCAACCCTTCAAATTCTATTTGTTAGCCGCGATGAAAAAGTTTCGGCGATTAATAAATACCCTTACGCGGGGGAGCTCCGCGAGATCCGAAAAGCAGCTTGATCGAATTCGAGGGTAATAAGACGCGCGAAGAAGAAAGGCACCCTTGGCACCCGCATTATCGAAAAGTATGAGTAATTCGCTCGAGGGTGGCGGTACCACCACCACCACCATACCATCGCAGCTTACCTGGCCCATCATCCCTATGAACGCCCAGATCTTGAAGGTCTTTAGCGGCACGCTAACAAGGTACTCGTGGAAGAAGGCGCTGATAAAGAAGACCGTTATGCTGGCGACGCTCTTGCTGTAGCCCATCTCCAGCACCGGGAGATACAAGTGCCTGCAAAATTCATTTCCATCATCCATCGTCATCGCATCTATAATCCCATCCTACCCAGCTACGTGGGTATCAATATATATATATACACGTACACACCATTACCCATGCATATACATATACATAGTCAAAGAGCTTCCACGGTTATTGGCGTCAGCGCTGCCAGGGCCATTAATGAATATTATCCCACTCTTCAGCCGCAAGCAGAAATTTAAAATTAAGCTCCATCGAGACGAAAATTACCCCGTTTTTGCTCCCTACATCAGATATCACTCCGATGATGAGAAAACAATCTTTCTCTGAAGAAAACGCGAACAAAACGTGTCTCCCGGAAGCGCGGGTCCCTTGGCTTTTACACGAGTTAATACGATTCACGCGTAGGCGCTTCCCGCTTTTTACGTCACCCGAAACGCATTAACGCGCCCGCGCGCCGCCCCACGTTAATTATGATATGTACTAGGCAGGAGCCTTGTAATTATATTTCAGTCAAAGGAGAGATAGGGACGGCTACTCGTTTTTTGTGTGACTTTTAATTACGGCGGGAGGGCGATTTCATCAACGGGCTTAACGACATTTAAAACTACAGCCGAGAGGATCAAGAGCTGCGAAAGGAAGGAGGGGGGGGGGGGGAAAAGAAATTAACGACATTTAAAACTACAGCCGAGAGGATCAAGAGCTGCGAAAGGAAGGAGGGGGGGGGGGGGAAAAAAAAAAAAAAAAAAAAAAAAAAAAAAAGAAAAACTGGCGTACAAGTGCGCGCTGTACGTCATCGCGATCTCTCGCTCCTCCGGGCACGGGGAGCGACGGGGTATAAGGAGAGATAAACAGCGAGACTCGTCGCTTTGGGAGATGCGTATCGGCTTTTCCCATTACGATCTTGAAAAGCTCCCGTCGACGGCAGAAGCACTGCGCTACTCCGTTTCTCCCGCGCACTTTAGCGCGTGGCTACGTGCCAGTCTACACGCACACCCTTGCCAGTACCCTGCACAGTGTGAATAAACGCCGGCCCTATCTATATGCACAGGGGCTTCGGGAGGATGAGCTAGCCGTCGCTCTCGCGAAATAAGTACACAGCCAAGAGTCGCGGAGAAATTTCAGCCCGGGCATCCCTCACCCGAATGGCCCCCGGCCATTTGCGCGGAGCAACAACATACATACCTTGGGATCATCGAGAATACACACTGCACTTTTTTCCCTCTTCGCTCGGGTGCGCTGTTATCATATATATATATACACCATCCAGGGTATTTTCGTACTTGCAAAAAAAGCTTGCCGATTCGTACGAGCGCGTGTATGATGTTCGACGGCCCAATGGCGTGTGACCAGCGACCGGTGAATCATGCGTCTGTTTGTCGATGTGTACGCGTGAGGCTCGCACTCGATCACTTATGAATCATTGATATCGAATCGGCGCCCGTTTGAAGTCAAATAGCGCGCCTGCAGTGTTTAACATCGTCCGAATGATGTTTGTTTCCATCGGGGGGGTCCTCGCGTGGCTTCTGCTCGGTAGACCGGTTAGTTCGATTATTTGTCGTTTGAACGGCGGCCCGTACGGCAAATAAACGTGAATTAGGTACACGTGATTTTCAGCGTGTGTGTATACAGTGTGCCGTCGATCGACGGGAGATTTCGGATTCGGGGGAGGGAGACGAGTGCCCGCGACTTTGTAAAACTGTCCGCTGATTTGCGTTTTAAATCGATACGGTCTATGGACAATCTCGGGCGAGAATCATGTGTATAGCACTAAAAAAATGGGGATAAAGAATACAATCATACCTGATGGCCCATCGGTGTACCGGCAAGTTCCACGTCCTCCAAAAGGTGTCGATGTTGTTGGCGTTCCACCAGTCGCAGTAGAACTTTCTGTCCGCGAAATGCAGCAGTTCGCCCATTAAATTGAAAAACGAGTGAAATATGAGGTAGAAGAAGCACAGCCACATTAGGTGATTCGGTATCTGCAGGACACGAGGGACTTTTTTGTTTCATCACATATTGGCAATGTATAATATGTATACATAAATATATAGAGTCCTCATGCGTGTAATGTACGTATAATCTTCCGGATGGACGAGAAGCTTTCCAGTCACGTAGCATCTTTTACGTGCTTGGGGTGGCTGTTTTTTTTTGTTCCCCCATACCCATCGGCCGATCGCTGCGTTATTAAGAATAATTGAGCTTCCTCCTCCCGGCCGACGTTTTTGGCGCAGCAGCGCGGGTCGTTATGGAAGCAGAGTCGAACGACGTGTTTTTCCGAAGCGATAACAGTATAGTTATCGATCATCCCGTGCTCGTTAATCGAATGCAAATTTTCCGCCGCGTAGGTACATCCGTCGCACGCGTGATTTGGCGCTTTTTTCGTTTGCTGGGGGAGGGGGAGGGGGTGATTAAACTCGACGCTAATGAAAATTTCACCCACGCCATGGTGCATCGCGCCGTAAGTTCAACCGGACACTCAACGAAACTACGCGCTTGCCACCCTATGATTGTTATTGAAAATAAGTGATTTTCAACCGTCTAAGTTGATGCATCCTTTCTTAAGTGCTTGCTGACTCATGGAATCAAATAAAAACTGACTCTCAACAGTTTTAAATGAATCGTGAGATAAAATAATATCCGTAACCACCCATGTATTAATGTCGGAAATAAAAAAAATGTTTTTTTAATGGCCTCGACGATATAGAGGAAAATTTGTTGGTCCTATACTAATGTACTTTATGAGCGTTTGTATTGTCCTCTCTAGACTCGAAAAACCAAAAAACCTTGACGATGAACGCATAAAAATCACTACATTGATCTTTCAGTCACTAATACAGGAGGTGACTTGCAACTCGTGCCTTCATCTTACCACTGAAATTTACATGAGACAAAAAACGGAGGGAAAAAAACACTGTACAGTTGGCAGACCTTTGATGAAGCCCATACCATCGGAACGCGATCAAGCATCGGCGCAGAGTGTACGGCAGAGGGTGCGAAAGCCGCCGACCCTCAACGAGCACTCGCAAGTTGTTATTTTGTTCCGATCGGTGGCGGCGTCCCCCTCCCGTCAAAGGTTTCATAAAGTTACCAGGACACCGAGCACAAAGACGCGGTCAAGTCCTCCTTCGCCGCGGGGCATTGCCGCAAAAGAGCAGCGGCAACAGCGGAAGAAAAGAGAAAAAAAAAAAAAAAAAAAAAAAAAAAAGAGGTATAAAACAGCAAAGGAGAGGAAGAAGAAAAGCAGACGATCCTGGACAGCAAAACTTCCTCCGACGTTTTAATTTCGTTTTCTTCCCCGCAGCCCTACTACCTCCTCCTTCCCTTATATTCCTCGTGCCCACTACTATACCCACTCCCCCGACAAAAGCCAGCGAAGAGAGCACAGGACACGGGGATTTTTACCCCTGCCCGCAGAGACGAGGTAGAGAAAAAAAAGAAAGAAAAAAACACGCGCGCAGCGTCTTTTGCGAGGTAGCAAGGTGCAGAAGGAGAACCAGCTCGCCGATACCACAAAGACGAAGACGAACAAGCCGAGGAGGATGAAGCAGCAGAACGACAAACTTTCAGTCTGCAGGCTATACACGCTACGTTGGCTCTCCTCTCCACGTTGTGGGTGTGTGTGTGTGTTCAGCGCGATGCTTTAGGCCCTGCACACGTACAGCCAACACACGAGACACATTCCAGATGTACCCCCCATCCCCCCACTTGCCGCGAAAATTCCGGCTCCACGTATTTCTACGACCCACCTCCTTTTTTTCCCTCCCGACCGAGCACATGGACAAAGTAGCGACAGCTCTCCCATTTTAATTCAAGCGCGGCTCAGACGTGCGCCACCCCCGACCTACCCCCACATCAGACGCCCCGTCGCCACCGCGGCAAGTGAATTTCTCGGCTCACGTGTGTCTCGTTATCGCGAGCGTGCGCTGCCTCATACTACTATTATTATTATTATTATTATTATTATTATATTTTTTTTTTTTTCAAGTTGCGATGTCCTGTTCATCCCCCGTTCAATTTCTCCGAGAGGAGTCGAACGACTGTTCGCCAAAGCGCCATACGGAAGAAGCGACGCCGTCTAACGTCGCTCGTCCTTGGGCTCTTTTTCCAAGAAAGCGGGAAATATCGATTAAACAGCGCGAGTCTCCCTCTCGCTCTCTCTTCTGGATACATATAATATCGGTTCTCTTTGAGCGCGAGCCCATCAGGTGACGACGGCGACGAATCACGTTTTTTAACGACGCGCAGCACCCTTTGATCACAGCCGTGGATTCCTCTTCTTCGCTCGACTCAATATTCATAAATTCAATACCCACGACTGTGCCGCGGATGAGATCGACCCGCTTCGGGCTCTTGTTTCTCGCATTAATGACTCCTCCATGTATATGTATATATAGAGCAGCTCTGAAGCTAGAGTGAAATATATATATACATATACGTGGGCGCGAGAATAGATTTGTGTTATAATAGAAATCGCTGATGATGGCCGGGGATTATCGGTGCTGGGGTCGAGGGTACGTCGATTCGCGGCTGCGATTCAAGATTTTCCGTTCGTTCGGCAAGGCTCGAGACAATGGCCGGATTCCTCGAGCGCGTGGAGAATTTTCTGCAATTGTCGGCGAAAAGGAGGGAGGACTCTGAAGTCGCTCCACGGAGTACGGATAATCGTTGCGAGTCGGAAAATTGCGATGGTAATTAGCGACCGAGGGGGAGGATTTTTTTAATCACGCGGGCCGGCTTGCGGATATTCCGTCGAGTTTGCACGCTCGATTGGCTTACCCAGTTATTTTTCTCTCTCTTTTTTCTTTTTTTTTTTTTTTTCCTTCCTCTGCATCGGGAACCCTGTCCCGTTTCTCGACTCCTGTGTATATACGCGATACCTCAATTGGGATCTTCTAATTGCACGGCGTACTGGTGACACTGTGGAAACATTTTTCTACGTCAAACTGTTACCCCACGATATCCTTCATTTTTGGGAGCAGAAAGTATTCTAAAACTACGTGGTCACGGCTCTTTTTAAATAATTTAATCTAGTACCAATCAAATAATAATGGTCTTAAATCGTCGACTCCACAGCATCAGTGTCCTTTTTCAAAATAACTCGACCAATTTTTAACGGTTAAAATTAGCACTACCTCATCGATTTGATTTCCTTTAATCAAGTTTTCGAAACTTCCTGCAGCTCTTCTATACTCGTGGTAATTTAAAAAAAATCTCCAGCAAACTGTGTGTATATATAGGTATGCGTCTATAAACTGATTGTTCCGAGTGCTCGCCTAATTTGTCCGTTGTCGCGCTAAACTCGTCCAATCGCATTCCAATCGCCGTAGGTAACAAATTGTTTTGACAAGTGGTGGTCCAAGCGAGAAAACGCGATTACCGAAGACGGTAAGCGGCAAGTATTGTTTCGTCCGAGGACTCAGAAGGTGGGGAAAATCCCATTGGCGGCGGTAGTTCGCCCCCCTCCTTCCCTCTTAAACTTTAAAATAACTCGATTTCCATCGACGCGTTCACAATCCCGTATAAAATATGTGCGCCGATCGAGATAATTTGGTTCGCCCAACTTTTTAGGAATCCCTTCCCACACACACCCATCGTAATCTAATCTCCGTCCGTGGAAATTGAAAATTTTTTCCCCCTCCCTATGATCAACGGCTCACCTCCACTGGACAATCAAATTATTTTAGCACCTTATCAAATTAAACGCACACTCTCGCCCAGAATCGCACCAGAAAGCTTCCGTCGCCAAGATAAATACATATAAATATATATATATATACACGACTTATACATATAAATATGATGTACACTGTGCACGTATAGAAAACTCACCGCCAGCTTGAGAAGGCGCTCGGAGGCTTTGGCGACGTCCATGTTCTGAAACACACAAGCGTAAGCTTTGTTATTACATTAATCCTCCCCCAAGAGAGGGCATAAGCCATAGAAAATGCACACATACGTGCAGTGCGCGCACGTGCGAACAAGTAGGTACGTGATTAAAATGGAGGCGACGCTAAGCTGCAAAGCTCGGCCGCGGCGAATTAGAAACACTATAGCTTTGCTCGAGGCCGCGGACTGGTATCGGGGGAACGGGGGGGGGGGTGTAACCCTGTAATCACGCCGAAGAGCAAAGTTTCTGTTGCTTTCGGATTCCTAGCCATATTCTCCCTTTTACGCGCGCTCCTGTCCTCGGAACTTTCGATAACAGAAGCGTCCGTCCCGTGGACGCGTTATTTCTACTTGATCAGGTTGGGAGGGCGCGCACACGCACGAAAAAGTTCGCACGGCCCCTCGATCGAATTATCCCTCGCCGAACACGCCCGATGGATTTTTCTTTCACATACGCCTCGGCTCTTCTTTTTGCACTTTTTTTTTTCCCCCCCAATTTCAGAAGATGAAAAAAGTGGGTTACAGGGTAAAGAAAAAAAAACCTCGAAAACGATATTTCATATCCCCGGGCGCGAATTAATTACGCCAGAGCGAACGCGTTTCTCTCTCTCCTTCCATCACATCCGCGCTCTGCCGAGAGCCAACTCGCCCCCCCTCCTAATTCCCTGATTCTGTTATCTTTGCGACTCGGGGGCACTTGATGAGAGCTACCCTACATGTATATACATACACGTACAATACCGTTGCATATTCAGGCTTCCCCTTTGCTCGGCGAGTAATAAAAAAAATTCCGCACTCGCAAAAGGAGCTACAGGGAAGAGCCGTTTGTTTAGCATCGCTGCAGCGCATATGTATGTATACGTATATAAAGGGTAGGAAGCGAGAACGAAAGCCCCCGCTGCGAGTGTCTTTTAATAATATTTATCTTGTCGCGTCGCGTCATTTCAATTTGTCGGGGACGTTCACGTTGTACCCCCCCCCCCCTGGTGTACATAAGAAGCTGAAGGATTCTGCCCCCTTTTTTTTTTTTACCGCTCGAGCCCCCGAGAAATAGACTCCGCGGCACCTGCAGAGGAAATAATACGGAGGGGTGGGGGCACGAGACAAGAAAAAGAAGGAGTGGAAGACGAGGTGCCGAGAGACGCAAAGCTGCAAATCCCCCAGTGCTAATTGAAACGGCCCCTCTTTCATCTCGAGTACTCGAGACTGCCGGGAAAGAATTCCCACCCACCTCGACGCGAAGACGATTGTTGTTTTATACGCCCCTCTTTTTTTTTTTTTCTCCCTTCCCACCCCACCGCTGTACTATAGCTGCACTCTCCCGTAGGTCTTGTAAAAATCAACGAGCGCGAGGTGGTACGTAAGCTTCTTATGTACCTGCACTCCCCGGGACGGGGGGGGGAGGAGGGAAAAAAGACACCGCAGGTTTATATAGTTTACCATTCGAGGTACATATCGATGTCATCCATCGGATGCGCTTCCGGCGCGAGAAGTGCTCGGCAGAGGTGACGGCTGATCGATGGGTTATTGTTCCGCGCGTATATCCCATCGCCGTCGGCTTAAATCTGTAATTGGCTCTCGCGACTAATCCACCCAACGGGGATTCGACTCGATTGGACCCTGCCATCCAACACTCCCCCTTCCAGGGTTGTTGTGTGGTACTTTACTTGGAAACGTCACGGAAACACTTCTCTTTCCCACGGGTGTACATCCCGCAAATCTTATTATACTTTCAGAGCTCGATAACCCTTTTAATGGTACACCAGAGCCACGAGTGCAGTACAGCGGTGTATAGCGTCTTGAGAAAATTATTGCGCGTGTATGTGTGGGGGGAAAAAAAAAACAAAATAGAGAAAGAGAGCGGAACGAGGGATGGTGGAAAAGCTGATCAGCGGCGTGAGAGCTACACGGTAGGAGGATCGGAGTGCCAGAAAGCTTTTCGTGGTACGGTATTTTTCTCTCGCGGACGACCCATGCGGATAACACACCGCCACGTGCGCGTCGCTCTAATACCCACCTGTAACCGAATTTCGCACTTATCGCCCCGCGCGAGCGAGGAAATAAAACGGCGCTTCCCCGATTCTTTCTCGTTGAGCCGCGCGGGAAAATCCACTTTTTCCCCCAACGTATTGAAAATTCGCGCAACGGATGAAGCGGTACGTATACAAACACTTGCGCGGGAGACGGTACATCCACGGAGGGCACACGATATAACACGGGCCTATGAGAGAACCATCCCCCACCTGATCATAATAAAAACTAGTCACGCTCTTGGCGCGGAATCTCCACATCTTGCGGTTGCACCTATAGTCCTGGAGATTGTCGAGGAAATAACTCCTGGTACGAGCGACACTTCGTTAGTAGTACACGTCATTTTTTCCTCACCCTAATCGGCGCTCGAGGGCAGACGACCCGAAGCGTGATAAACTCCTCGTCAGCTGGTGGACTTACAACGAGCCGGGAGTGGCCGAGACGCGAGCAACCGCGGCGACGTCGTTACACGACTGCACATACTATAATAATCGGGCACTCGCAAAGTGGAAGCTTAATAGAGTTGTGGGTAGGGAGGGCGTGTAGAAACTTTGAAACGGGCCGTGCATTTCGCGCGCCAGCCAACTGTCCGTCCGAGTTATTAAGTATTTACGGTCGGGTGCTCTCTCGCATTGTACTATATACCAGGCACAGCTGTTGGTGCGTATCGATGCGACTCTCTCGCAAAGTGGATTGCCGGGCTTAGCTGTGAATTGCCAGGCGCAACGCATCGTCTCGAGACTATACCACCCCCTTTGCGCGGCTGTACCTACACTAGGATCCTTTCTCCCGCGGCCAAGTGGTGAAATCCAACGGGCGGGAGGATTGCTCTGTGTAGTTTCCTCCTCCTCCCAACAGGGCTGTATATAGGGCGTAGTAATAGCAGCACTCTGGACGCGTGTTTCGCTGATTACTTGGCGCTTGCGGCAACCCCCGGAGATGAAATTTCATCCCCAAATTGAATACTTTCGGTCAGCGGATAGCATCACGAGTGTCTTTGTGTGCGTGTGTGTGCTCTGATTCCACAACGTTGTACATGAATGTTAACTTTGTACTTTTCCGAGTGTGAATGAAACCGAATAATCATACGTGTGTACGAGAGGACTGTGATTAAACGAGGGGGGGGATCTAAAAAAAAAAAAAAGAAAGGAGTGATTTGTCGTCATTTTTCCCGAGCCAATCTACCGCCTTCCCCCTTCTCCCCCCCCCTGCTGTATTCAAGGAACGAGATCCAGGGCAGAGCGGGAGATGAAAAATATGCCTCTGCATTGTGACAAACCATGCGCCTATTTGTTCATTCGCCCCTGTTTTCTTTTTCCACTTTTATTTTAGATACGAATAATTCATACCACGTATTTTTTTTTTATTTTTTTATTATTCATGTGGCAGCGAAACCAAATGTGAGCAGGTGACAGAGATTTATAAAATTTACGTGTGATACTCACGCTGAAGGGTATCAGGGAATTTTTCACCGAGGGTATCATCCACTGCTGGAATAGCGACATCACCACCTGGCATCCGACGACGACCTCTAGGATCCTCTTGATCAAGAACCTGCGCATCGAAAGACAAAGAAAAAGAGAAACGTGAGATAACAATCATACAATGTGCTGTATTAGATACGAAAAGGGTATAAGTACACGGTGCCCTGTGGCTATACGTATACACTCGATCAAAGGGTGACAGACCGCGTGTTGGCATTAGCTTCGTTTATTTTTCCGCAAGGAGGGGCAAAACTTATTGCGGATAAAGGTAGTCCCTGCACTCGGCTAGATATTCGTGGCCATAATTCATAAGCGCCCTCAAACGGGAGGGAGAGGGTGCATATATATATATAAGGGGGAGCAGGAAAGGTAAGAGCGGCCGCGTGTTTTATTGCGATAAAAAGAAAAATTTATCTTCTCGGTTGTCTCTTGTACGCGCGCTCGGTACAGCAGCGGCAGAAAAAAGAAGAGAGTAGGTCGGAGAGGGTAGAGAAAGCGCCGGAGGCATTATAAATTACATCGGAAGGAATTCATCGACGTGGATATTTCTCCCGTGAAATTCTCGCTTTTCCGATCTGCCCCGGTGCACTGCATCGGACTACTTACCGCACGTACCCATAATATACACATAAAGCAAGAATTCAAGTGCACGCTGCAGTATAGCCATATAACTGCTCCGGATTTGGGCAAACACTGGAATGGAAGGGGGAGTAGTCTTGAGGCGCAATACCGGAACAACGGCGTAGGAGGCAAGCCGGTGAATACATCTCTCATCCGTTACGTGAAGCGGCCCTCTCGCGAGTCTATAATTTCACGAGCTAAGAGGCTCCCCTTGGAGGGGTTGTTGTTGGCCACGCACCGAGCATCAACTCAAACAATCGGCTGGATGAAAACACCGGCAACTCTCGAAGGGGCTAAAGTTGGAAAACTCGACGGGCGCGAGCGAAAAGTATAGTTGCGCGGAGTAATTAATTTTATGGAAACGGAGTGGTTGGGTGGAAAAAAAAGAAATAGGAAGTGAGCTCGAAAACTAATAAATAATAAAAATGTTTAATTAAATGCACGCGGTGGCCGGGGCATGCGTACAACGGGGCAAAAGTTTGCGCGGTACTTTAATTAATATGCACATCTTGCGGCGAGCGCGGGACGAACGAAAATTGTTTTTTTTTTTTTTTCCTCCTCCCATACAAACCAACAGAGGGCCCTGCGTAGCGACGAAAAATCTTCCGCCCGGGCAGCTTTGTATAATTAAAAATACACCATTAAACGGATGTGGGGCGGGACAAAGGAGGGGTGTGCGCTTGAAATACCTCTTTCGGATCCTTTGCGTCCTGGGAAAGTTTAATTCGTAGCAGAGCGTCGGCGCCAGCATGAAGTAGAAGAGATCGGACAGATTCAGGTTGTCCGGATATTGCACCAGGGCTTTGCCCCCGCCGTCTATCTCGTGCCTCGTTTCATCGGAGTCGCTGCCGTTTTGCTTCGCCTCCGAGGCTGTGGAAACACAAGAGAAACACGTGCATCGAAACCAAACACACACGCACACTTTTTTTTTCTTTGTTTCCATGTATATATATATATATATAAACACCAGCGGAGGATCGAACGAAAATTAGCTCAAGAGCCACTATGGCCCCTGCAGATCCGGCAAGGGAGTCTCCAAAACAGTCTCAACACTCCAAGGGGTGGTGCATTAAATTAATTACCTCGCGCTGTTTTCCTGCTTTGCTCTTGTATGTGTATACATGTACATACCTACGTGCTGCTGTTGCACACTCCGTAGGGCTATATATAAATTGGCATTTTAATTAATTAGCGAGCACGCGATATCGCCCGTCCATCTATTCCCCCCCCCCCCCGGCTGGTTAGGTACTTCCGAGACGGAGCACTTGTCGCTGATTTATTCGCGTTCGCGCGCACATGTAGGGAAAAAAAAGAAAGGAGAGCCGGAAAAGGCGCGAAAGAATCCGTCCAAATGAAATTTTCCTTCTCACCCACCTCCTCCTCTCGCTGTTATAGTTACAGTATACGGTCTCGTGCGTGATTTCGCTGCTTTTAATTAAAATCCGTTGTCCGTTTGGCTGATGGATTCGCCGTTGATGTTTCATCGCCCTCCGTTTGCTCGGATCTCCTGGCCGATGGCGTGCCAACTCAACTCGGATGTTGATTCTTTTTTTTTGACGCCCGACATCGGGTAAACATAATCAAGCCCATCAATATATATATATGCGCGCGGTGGCTCAGTCGGCTCGGTCGTGGATTGGCACGCGGGAGACCGTGGTGTTCGATTCCCGGCCAGTACGACTTTTCGGGCAAGTACCTCTGTGATTCTCACATGTGCTTTTTCACCACGCAATGCTCCTCGAGGAGGGTTTAGGCGACCTCCTCGCAGCAATAATTGCCTAATTTCCCCCTACCCCCTCCTCCCAGCAATGGGAGAGGCCTCCCATCCCTCTTCCCTTCCTTCTCCCAAGTGCTAAGTGCCCATAGTAGTGCCCTTGTTAAAGGGGCCGGACGTAGAGCACTATAATATAAAAAAAAAACATATTTATATATATACATATATATTCCCTTGCATGCTTCGTGGGGTCCTTTTTTCTCGATTGAAACGTTTCCGGGGAAAACTTTGCCTAATTGGCATTTGAATTCGAAACGGAGGAGGACATACATTATGCACTCGGCTCGGGGAGGAGATTGCAGGCAATCGTTTTAGCGGAAAGCTCGTTGTACGCGTCACGGTTAATTTGCCCGCCGATTCTTCGTTCCGCCGCTCTCAACGGCTCCCGTTCCATTGGTCCACCCCCCGCCCACTTTGTCTTTCCTCTTCTTCGCGCGCCCGAGAAAGCTCTGCGCCCAGGACGGACATTAATTTTGAGATATACGAGTCGGAGGAGAGAGTCTCGTAAGTACTCGCTGGATATAAGCTGCGCTCTGGTACAAAGACGAAATTACGCCGGAGGACGACAGCCAGCGAGTCGCGAGCGTGATTGAAAAAAAAAAGGGGAGGGGGAGAAAAAGAGGGAGGAGAAGAATGCCAAGGAAAAGAAAAATAATTCTGTCACCGGTGAATTGTCGCCCGGGTCTCTCGCCCTCTTAATAAGGCCATTCTCCCTTGAACTCTTCCTCTTCATCGTCCCTCCCCCCCCTCTTTCTTCCTTTGTTCGTTTGCATTCATTTTTCAAGCTCGAGAGTGGCTCGGGCGATGGCTCCTCCACGAGTAATAACTGCGTTTCGTCCGACGGATCTCTTTTACTGGCGTATTAATACACCCTCGTCGAAGCATATACGAGTTGGATCGTAAATCAGGGATGATTGGCCGTGATTAAAAAATAACAAAAATTACCCGTGTTGGCTCAAAAGAGTAACAGAGAGACCGTACAAGAATTTTGCGAGGCCACGGGGTGTATCAAACGGTCACGCGGCACGCGAAGCTGCAAGGTAGCGATTAGACGATGTAGGTTGTTTTTTTTTTTCAAGAAAATAAATCATAGCGATCGATGCTCGTGTGTTATCCTTTACTTTGAGGAACACATGACCCGTCATTCCGGGAATAGAGTCCTTGAGAGAGAGAAAGTACAGTCGTATCGGTGGATCAAAGAGAGAAAGTTGGCGGGCGGTTCGTCGGCGGTAAAGTTTCTCCGTAATTTGACTTTGGCCCCGCGAAGTCTGAATAATCGATACCGGCGCGCTGTACTTCGATTTCCGGAAATCGAGGCGAGCCGGATCGCCGGTTAAATTGGCTGGAAATTATCCGGTCGCGCGGCGGCTACGGTAATATTCCCCTTGGCCCGTCCCTCTGTACATATACCTTGTACTGCACACTCTGCAGCACCGGACCTCAAACGCTTGGGTATACATATATACATATATACGGGCTCTCTACACCAGTATGTTCCCATTATGCTTTCATTAGCGTATACTCTGTGTGTTTTTGATACGCGTACAGGTAGGTATATATACTCTCGCGGTAATTTTACCAGCTCGAAATTTCCTGCTCTTTGACATTTCGAGAACCGTTTCGGCTGCACTTTGGAATATTTAATCGACGGATTCTCCGTGGGTATATATACATGGGTAAAATGCTGATTCGAAAGCCGTAAATTATTATTATCTCCTCCGCGGGTGTACAACATAAAATATAATATAAAATTGCATAGCAATGATGGATGAGGATAAACCAAAGCGGTACTCACCGAGCAGGTCCGTGTAGCTGAAGGACTGTCTCCGCATCCCACCATGCGACGTGTTTTTGCTCTTGACGCTGAGCCGACACCACATGTTCACCTGCACGTACGACCACAGCTTGAGGAACAGAAGGGCGTACAGCATGCACACGTACATGGCGCCAACTGCATCGACAAACAAACCGCTTTGAATAATAAGTATACAGCCTGTACGACTGAACGTAGAAATTATGAAGGAAAAAAAAACAAAAAAAAAAAACAATAGAGGATAGATTGGACGGGCGAGTCTGAACCACGTGCCACTTTGCCGGTGCGCTGCACGAGTAGGTACACCCCTCTTGTACCGTATAATTGAATAATGCATTGTATCCTTCGCGAGTCCTTTTTCTCCTTTATATATACGGTGTATCCAGCTCTTCTCGTCGTACCCCCTCCCCCCCCCCCCCGCAAGATTATCACAATGGATGTGTGCGCTGCTCCGGAACAAAAGACACGACGACGAGCAGCAACGAGAGAGAGAGAGAGGAAAAAAAGCCGAGACACGCGTCATAATTTTCCGGCTGCGTGCTCGCCGCATTACGGAGCTCGCGCTGGCGTATGTGCCTTACGTACCTACACCGCTGCGTGTCGCGAAATCCTCGACTATTACGGGGCACAACGGGAGCGCGGGAAAGAGAAAAAAAAGGTATCGTTCTGTCTTCCCCTCGCTTTTGTGCGGCTCCTGGATTAAAACAGGAGATTGTCGCGTGCGCGCTTCGTTGTCAGCGATTTCTGGGGGGGGTCGGCGTCTCCGGAGATGTATGAAAATCGATCGGTGCTTGCATTGTACGTATTTGACAAATAGAGACGTTTCTTTGACGAGGCGTCCGTGGCGATGATACAACTGTAATTGCCGATTGTGTGCGGACATGTATTTGCTTATACGCGTTTACCAATTTGGGGGGGACAATTGATTTGCGGCTTGAGTTTAATTCGATTGAATTTCCGGGGCACGTGTGTGCGAGTGTGTGTGTGTGTATATATACGCGTGCGAAGCTGCGGTTGTATGCGGGAGAATCGTTTTCGTTGGCGAATTTGGCGTTTTTTTGGTCATACGAGAGATGGCTTGAACGTGATCAAATAAACTTTGTTATCTTTCCTCGAGAGACAAGCCGATGTACTTTTGTAAATGAGGTTTCGAGCAAACTATTTTTTTCTTTTTTTTCCCCCCCAAACTACCGAGGCCATTAAAAAAGTAAATTAAAATAAAGACAACGGTGCCAAGTAGTACGAGTCAAAATATGGTCCGACGACGACGGCGCGCGTATGGTGCAGTGTAAGAAAGGGCGGCATGAATATTTAAAATCTCATCTTAAAATTTCCATTTCGTTATTTTCGTTTCAATTGCCTTCCGGATTTCGGGCTAATTAAAATAAATGCGGATATAATTTCCATTCGAAAAATTAACATTTTAATGCTCGGATTATTCCGGGGGGATAATAGCCTAAGAAAACGATTGTTTGGCTCGAAAAGGCGATTTTCAAGAGTCACATTAGAAAAGGAGAGTACCTAATGAATAAAAAATTGATCACTCCACAAATGCCTTCCATCGCGATGGATTTTATTAGATCGAAGGCCAAAATTCGCATTGGACTGGATTAGAGTAGATTGTACTTTATCGAGGCACAGCGGTTATTACCACACACGTTACCTCCAGCAATAGCTGGACTCGCCGGGGGAGAGTAAAGAAAGTCCAAATTAAAGGAAAATAACGCCGACAAGCCAAGGTATATGTATAGGTATGCACATATGTGCGGTACGCATGATGGGTGTATAACAGAGAAGCTACCAAATTCACCGTATGCTCGCGTACGCCATGAATAAACCAGCGAAACCAGAGTACTGTTTGTTCCCTTTTCTTTCTTTTAACGGATTAAAAAAAAAGGAGGAACAGAAAAAAGAAACAACAAAAGCGAGATGGGGTGAAATTTTTCGCTCCATATAGTAAATTTTTCACGACATCCATTATTTCCCCACTCGCGCGGGAGCGGAGTGAAAGAGAAGGAAGGAGAAAAAGAAAAAAAAAATACACAGAGTCCATGATCGAAAGTAGCAGTGAAGTTTCGCCGCTGGATGTATACAGGTGTGTACCAACTATGTTTCACCGATAACGCACGCTCCCGCGCACCAAGACGCGAACTATGGAGGAGGGAAGGGGGAGAGAAAAGGTCGCTCGGGCACATTGTATCGGTTCTTTCGCTGCAACTTGCAGTGTGAAAGTACTTTCTCAATTTTCTTTGGACGCTTTCGTCCACCCCCTCGCGTCTTTCTCACTTTCTCAGCTTCCAAAGGGACCCGAGGAAAACTGCCATTCACGAGCATTGCAGACGCACTCTCTTTCAATACAATCGCGCGACCTCTCGCACATCCGCCAAATTCTCCGGTATTGTACACACAAATATCGTACATCGGCATGTATATAGTTACCTATCGATCGTGGGGTAATCAACTCCAACTAGTTTACGGAAAACAATCGAAGAAGAAAGAAGGTAGAGGAGAAGAGCAAAAAAAAAAACTCAACTTAACTCGAGAAAGAGCAAGTTTATTTCCCGAAGCGTTGATGTTTAGCGAAAGAAGTGGCTGGAGAAAGAGTATATATATACGTGTGTCTGGTTGGCGTTGATTAGCTATTGGCCCTTGATTGGCCGGCACGACGCGGCGCCTCTGATTGGAGGGAGAAAATACGATGTGCCCAAGGTTGAAAAGTTGCTCCCCGAAACTACAGTCCACACCCGTACACCCTATCCCCTCCGGCGAGCGCCGAGGGAGAAAAAGAGCGCTGTAGTTTGGCAAAAAAAAAAGAGCTATACACCTACTCCTTGCCGCAACTAAAGCACCCCACTGCCATTTTTTTCAATTACTTCGTTGCTTCGCCCCGGAAAAATTCATTTCGACAAAACAAACTGCTTAGCCGAAAATGAGCGTTTCCCACTTATACGTACCTGCAGTATGAGAGTGGTTCATGGTGTTAAAGTTTGAAATTGACAAGCTTTGGGGGGAGGGGCTGCAAAATCCCTCCGAAAACACCAAAGTTTCAATAATTCAAGCCGACGCCAAGCGAACCACGTACAGACGCGGAGCTTTCAATTCCAGGGATACAAGTATATATAACCCGAGATCCGCACTTTTGTTCGCCGTCCCACATATTTTCCGTTTTCCTCCACACACGGCAGATACTCGCGGATGTTTTCTCGTTCTCTCGGAGGCAGCCGGGCTCCTTATTACATCAGACGTGCTCGTGGGAGGAGAGAGTCGGGCGGTGGGAAAATCGCTTCCGTCGGAAAGGGGATCAGGCAACGGAGGGGGGGGGGGTGGAGATACGTATTGCCCGCCATTGTGTGCACGAGCACGCCGTAACCGATGGAAACGAAGCTTATGTACCGCGGGTGATGCGTTTAAATTAAATGAGTCGTGCGCCTGCGACATGGACGGAAAAAATATGTTTCCATCTCGAGGGGCGGAAAAAAGGTGCATTCGAAACCACATACTCGCACCGAATGAATTGTGATCGCAAAGACTTATATCCTCGCGTAAAAAACAATCGCCTATATATATGTATATGTATACGTATACCAAAGGGAGTACACACAGTGAAACGCAAATTCCGCCAATGCCGATGTTTGAACAGCGTCTCGGCGCGGCTGGGTATAACTCCCCGGTATACGCGGTCAGTCGGGGGAGGGGCGATGAATCAGTTTGGAATTTCGGGGAATTCACGCCCGAGTGGCCGTCTTAAGAGCTTAGCGAGCGAGAGCCCCGTAAGCCCGCGTCTTCGCAGTGGCCGAGCACTTGACGGGCCAATCGAGACCCGTGAGGCGTGTGAAAATACCTCCACGTTTTTCGATCTCCGATTGCGGATTCCACGGTGATTGTCCATTCGATAGGACGCCTATAGACGCGAGGAGCCGGCTTTTTGCTCGGAGGAGCGATGCCTCACGCAGTTGGGAAAACTATAATTTCCGGGCCTAATTTCAGCCGGATTATTCAGCACGAGCGTGCACGGCGGGGGGAATATCAAGAGATATAGGTAGGCGGCGGCTAAGGTATATATAATATATACGAGGGAGCAAAGAATGGAGGGGGAGGGAGGTAAGAGCTGCAGCCTACAACGAGCTAGTTAGCCTAACAGGTTGGCCGGGCTCCAAGGCACCATCGCAGCGCCCCTTATTCGTACGTAAATATATATACGTTTTCTCGGAGTAGCCGAGCTCGTATAGGACTATATTATATACATAAATGAAGGTATTATATAGCCATCCGCAAACGGATCTTACCTCTTGCTCTTGGATTTTTTTTTTAATCGTTCAAGATTTTTGGAATGTGTTGATTTAAATAATTAAAAAAAAAAAAAAAAAAAAAAAAACTGTAAAACTACATTTATATCTCGCAAATCAACATAACGCGTGTGAAATGTATGTAAATATATAACTAAGTTGCACCTATATGCATAAATACAATAATCGAGGAGAATTAGTTTCCAAGAGAGCTCGAGTGTATAACGTCGCACATACCCCCCCCCTTCTCCGTGGGGTAATCTGATGAGCGAAATTTACGAAAGAAAAAAAAGAGGCGCGCATAGCTTAGCATAATTTAGCCAAGTATACGAGGGGGCGGTAGCAGCAAGAGGCGAAAGGGGGAGTTTGAAGGGAGGAGTGCAGGCACACACAACAGAGAAGGAACGATAATGACGTTACGAGTTCCGAGTACAAATGCAATTGAAAGGTGGTGGTGGTGTGACGGTGGCGGCGGCGGCATCTTTCTCGACAAGTTTTGCGCTTCATATACGATGTACGTGCAAACGGGCTTGTGCTCCTGCGGGGCTGGAAGAGGGAGCTCGACGTTTCACGGTCTGCCAAACTCCTCGTCGAGTCTCGCGGCGCAGATGTGTGTAGGTGTTGTACAGAGGACCTATATATATATCTGTAGGTACACTGCGAGCAGCCCCTCTGTCGCGAACAACTCGTGAAATTGACTTCTTCCTCGAGGGCTCGTGAGCCTGCATTTTTTAGCATATCGCAAAAATCACGCGACTACCCCACCCTCTCGGCTAAGACGTTGGCTCGCCGCTGATGTCCCACCGGGAAATGGCACAGCCGGAAGATTGGCACGTTAATTTCAGCCGCAGCTATATACCGGTGATCCCGAAACTTTGAGGGATGTTTGTTCGCGAAGTAGGCAGGAGGGTGGGTGTTGCGCGAAAAAAAACATTCCCCCGGATTTGAAGAATTTACGAGGGATGTAAGGAGAGAAGGACGGCCGTAAATCAGAAAACTTAATTAGCGCCGGTGTTTTGCGATCGTCTCGTTCGGGACAGGCTCGTTACGATGGAAGAGAGGACGAGGAAATAACAAAGATTTATACACTGACGGAACAGGGGGGGAGCCATCGGAGAAAGTATAAAACAAAGACATCGGGTGTGCGCGGACATGGAAAAAGAGGAGCAGCTGCAGTATTGGCGAGGGGGGTGCTGCGTTGCACGTGGCTCCAGGAAATTACATTCGTACGTAGTCGGAAGGCTCGCGCCCTCGTTGGCAAAGTACTGCCTTGTACACGTAGGGAGGGGGGGGGTATGGCGACGAATTTTGAATAACAAATCGCTGCAACTCTCGCTTGTCCGACGAGTCCCAGGTAGCACCATCCCTCGCAGAACGGAGGCTTTCTTAGGGGGTGTACCTACCACCTATACGTATACTATATATACGTGGGAACGGTACACGCTTGCCGCCGCGTCACCGGGACTCTCGGAGTAAACAAGCCGGAATACCAACCGATTTCGTGCAATCCGAATAACGAACTTGTATACCCTCCTCTCTCTCTCTTTGGCTTTTTGTGTTTGAGTAGACGGCAAGAGGGTAAATGTTACCTTCGTCCTCGTCGTCTTCGACCAAAGATGCGCAGCTAGTATATTAAAAAGGAAAAAGGATACGAGAGTCGGGAAAATTAGCTTTTTCAGAAGGTGCGTACAAAAGGTACACCCATTTCGCAACAAAGTTTAACGGAGAACATTCCGTTAGTCGCGACATGGGATTACCCGGATAATGGCGTTTGACTTCAATTCCCGAGGCTTCCTCTGTACAGGTAGCTTCGAATCGACGACTACGGAGTATATATGATATTCATACGAGGTTGGCTAATTTTTCTCCCAATAGCGGTGAACTTTGCGAGGCAGAGCGAGTTTTTGGAGTTACGAGGACAGAAGTCGTATCTATACATACACCTTACGTATGAGGAGGACGAGAGAAGGAATATACTGGGATTATTTTATCATCTCCCTCTCTGGGAGTGACTCCTCGAGAAGGTGTCCAGTTCTGTCATTTATAGTATTAGAAAGTTTGTTTGTCCGTTGGTATTTTTTTTATTTTTTTTTTTTTTATTTTGATTAATCCCGAAGGAGCAAAATTACGGCGATCCATCAGCGGGGGGCAACAAATTGAGAAGTTCAATCATTCGAAACTGACGGAGGGGCCCATAGATCAAGTCAGCGACGCGTCCCGGAAGCTGCGCGCCGCCTGTAATTACATTTGCATGCGAGAACGCAACGATAGGCCCCCGCCCGTCCATCCGGTGCGACTCCCGTCCGTCACGCCCCGTGTACCGGGGGACACGTGAGCTACCCCTTGACCCTGTTATATTTGTTTCGAGCGACAGAGAGAGGAGGGACCAAGTTGTACAATCAAAGGTAAAATATCACTCACTCAAGCTGAATCCTGTCTCCTTCACGTGGATGACGACCATCGGCACGAGCACCATCACTATGAGGTTCACCACGTGGAAAATCATACCCGGACCGTGGGCTATGAGATCCTGCAAGAAGAAACAGAGATAGACAACAAACTACAAAATTAACATAGTAGGTATGTACAAGCCAACGGTATACAATTAGCTCGTTCGCCCGTGAATTTAAAGACGGAAGGAAGAAAGAAGGAGGGAAGAATTCGCAATCAGTCCCAGGGGATCGAGTGGGTGTCGCGCCGTCTCGCACAAAGAATCAAACGGGTCAAAACATTCTTGAAACGTTACGTGCCGGTAATACGGGAGACTTGGCACCGGTCCCCCCCGACGAATTGCAGCTAAGCTGTACATTTATACATATATATATATATCTACTTATCTACCTAGCCCCCTCTCTCACCCTCTCTTGCTCGCTGTATGTATATATAGGGCGCACTCCAGCAGCAACAAACCTCTTGAACCAATCACTTCAGCGTGGAGAGATCTCTTACTTGCGTCCGAGAATTCCAAGATACCTTACCTACTACTCGGCAAACTCCACCGCGCTTACCGAAGCGCCGCGAAAGAGGGATCCAGAGATATAGTACACGTATACCTGTAGTAGTGCACGTAGGTACGTGTATATAGTTGTACATCTTTCTGTTGACTCAATAGCTAAAGACCCTTTGGTTTACCTTCCGGAAGCCCGATTTCTCTTGTTCGACCTTTGCTTTCCGCCGTACAAATACATACCCTTTCCCATTCACGTGTAAGGGGGGGTGCACGCGCTCACGAATTTTCTGCATCGTCCCACAAGACCATCCAATAAACTTATTTAGCCATATTCGTTTGATCCATATATATATATATATACTTATTGGATAAAATAACAAGTATGCCCGTAGGTGTGTATGTACTATTTGTTGTGAATTAACGTACAAAAGTTATAATTAATTTTATCGCGTTTACAGTATTTCCCCCATTTGTTATGCGTATGAGAACGAATTCAATTACGGGACTAAATTTCATGGTTTGTGTGTGTCTTGGGTAATGAAGTATATATTATACTGGGAAATCGCCCGTGGCGGTATCAAGTCACGAACAGGTGTAGAGTGGAGCTCCGACGGTGGGTAATAATAAAAGGGTCAAGCTGGCAGCCAAGGCGAGTTTATACGTAGGTCGACGCGTAAAACCAACTGGACATACGCGCACCGAGAGTTGCGGGGGTGTCGGTACATATACATACGCGTGCACGCGTATACGAATAAGAGCCAAATTTCCCATTTGCCCGTGACGCGGATATCGCTGCACTTGCGGGCTATGCCGGAGAGTTTACAAAAGCGATTTCGCTGATGTGGCCGCGCGTAATCGATCGCCTATACATCGCACGCGTTACGTATATTTAAAGAGAGAGGGTAGCTCGATGGCCTGTATATATATGTATATGCACTCGTTTGTTCTGCCGGGCAGGTGATATCGACGAGGAGAGAGCAAATTTGCGCGTAACAGTGGGTATACACAGGTTAATTTGCGTCGGCATGGCGGGTAATAGCGCGAGAGTAACGCGTTATTTTGCCAAGAGCCGGGAAATTCGGTCAAGGGATCGAAAGAATAGGCGTCATCGATTTTTCCATGATGCAGGAGAAGGGGAGGGTAAACTGTTTCTTTGCCGATTTTTTCTTTGAGAAAGATTGTTGATGAAAGTTATGAGAGTGGGGGTCTTACCATAGCCAGGCCCTTTTCGATAAGTAGACACATGACCACAGGAACTGTCGAGTCTGAAACAAAAAAAAAAAACAACAACAATACAAGATTATTGCAGTACCAAATCATTTGCGATCGACTCAAATTAGTCTTGCGGGTGAAAATGATGTATCGTAATGTGTTGCACGAGCCGACAAAGTACCTTCAACGTGTACCAGCAATTATCCGCCGTAACGGCAAAATCGTTGCGTCACGAATAACAGTCGGAGCGACGACACGAGGTGTCAATTTGCGCGTCGCTTCGCGCAAACGTGCAGGTGCATGTACACCCGACCGTAACATTACACCGAAGTACATGACAGCTAGCGGCATAAGCTGAATCGCGCGGTTTCGACGCGCTGTCATACTGTCCCATTGATTCGCGAAAAAAAATACTTGACTGGGGTGATGAAAAGCGTGATACTTTCTGTCGCTCGCGGTCGAGGATAACAAGTGCGAGATCCCCTATCGCGAATCGCAAAAAAAGGGGGTTACAACCCGCACTTGTCTCGCTCTCGCTTTGTTTTTCATTTCCTTTTTTTCCCCCAAGTGGAAAGGTGTACGCAACCTAGTTTTTCCCTCCCGATGTAAAAACACAAGAATCATCCAATTAGCAGCTGACGCACCAAAGCACCTGGCAGCTGTTCCCCCCCCCCTCGCGGCTCTATGCATGTAAAGAAAGTATCATATAACAAGCACCTCTGGGTATGTTTCCCCCCCCCACGCGCTTCTTTCGAAAGGAGTGAGCTGCGAATTTTTATTTGAGGCCACGCGCGGATATATGTATTGTCGACGTTTCCCTTTTGCCGAGAGAATTCGCGTTACGCGTACACATGTGCAGGTAAAAGCGCGCTAATATACACAAGAACGGAGGAGGAGAGCCTTTGGACGGGGAATTCGTCGACTGTGCTAGCCCTCTTTTGTCCAGCGCGCGCGGCGTGAAAAAGCTCCGCGAGGCTCGATTTGCCGGAAACGGAGGGGGAGAAAAAAAAAAAAAAGGAACCACCAACCCCTTCGAAACAGCACTGGCTCGTTCGTTGTAAAGGCAACTCGAGGAATTTCTCTCTCTGCGGGGAACGTGCGGGCATTAGAAGTTAAAGTATTATAGACTTTAAATCCTCAAAGCTGTGCCGGGAGGGGATGAAAGTAACGGTGGCCGCTGTTGGAATTCCAACAAACTGACCATCAAAGTTTCGGGCGATTTATCTTTTTTTTCCCATTCATACTGCTTTTATTGCTCCGCCGAAAATTTTCAGGTGGGCCTTTCCATGATGCCCTCTTTTTCGTTTGTTGTACTTTCCTCTTTGAAATTATACATTATATGTACGACTCGTACTAATTATCGTGAAAAGTAGGTACTTATTTCATCGGATTTAAAGCATTTAAGCGAAAGAAAAAAGAAAAAAGAAGAAAAAAAATGCGGCAAGCCCGAAAAAGAAAGTTTGGCCGAGAGTCGTAAGGGCGGCTGGATGTGTATAAGCTTTTCTTTACGAGACTGCAGAGCGAGGGAGCAAATTTCCCTGGTGGGGAATAAATCCGTAACGGTGCTTACACGGTGTTAACGGGAGCTGTTACTTACATACCTCGTCGCTTTATTTATGCAAATATTTTTCGACTCTCGACGAATAACCAGCAGGAAGGTGCAGGTATACTTGTTTTCATCTGACGAACGGAGAAACACAAGGGAAAATTTGTTAATAAAGAGTATAAGAGCTGCCCTCGCTGTATAGGTATACAGCTTATTCCACGAAGTGAGGCCCAGCCGGTATATTCCTAAAAGCGAAAGTATGCAACTTACAGTTCACCTGTGCTGATTTTTGTATTTTCAGCTCGGGTACCAGAATAATTCAAAGGCTCATTGTTTGCCATTGCGCTCCGGCGATGGATCGATAAAAAGGTAAAAATGTTCATCAAAGTAAGAAAAAAAAAGGGGGGAGGGGGGAAAGTTGACAGAGACAGAGAGAAAAAAAAACGTTTCTCCCTCGAGTAAAGAGAATCTCGCTGGAGCCTCGGCTCTTGTTAATAATGTACATGTACTTGGCTGCACGGGGGTCCGGTAAACGAATGTAGCCGAGCCCCATCCAAAGTTAAAACAAATTCCGCGCATTATTCCGCTCGTTACGTACAACGAGGCCCCACTCCCTCCGACTCTTTGCGAGATGTGATGTGTATATATACATGTATACCTAAAGAGGCCAAGGAGAAGAGAAAAAGTAGGCAAAGAAGTGTAACTACACACCGTCGTCGGAAGGGGGGAAAGTATAGGGTCAAGGAGCGAGGGAACAGCGTTTGCTCCTAACTCGTTAAGAGCGCGTCGGCGAGTTACTGCTCGAGGCCACCTTCTCTCTCGGCTCTCCTTCCTTCATTCGACTCTAAACTTAAGCGACAGCCGAAACTTGACGTTGTGTTGCGGCAATCGTCGTCGCGCCAAACGTGCTGTAAGGTATACCCACCCACCCCCCGGTGGTGCACGTATTGTTTCGTGGACTCGCTCGACCCCCCCCCACCCCCACGGGTATGTATACACTATGTACCTCTCTAATCTCGCTGTAGGCTATACATGTACGATTACTATTGAAAATCAAAGCTTCATTAGGGCGGTCCAACTTTACTGTTGTTGGGCACTGTTTGCTGTTGCTCCCCCGTCCTTGTTGGTTAGTTTTAAGGTAATTAATCAAAGTTTGATGTAAACAGCAATAGGTGCCTGTACACAAATAGGGTAAATGTTTTTTATACACCGCAGGGTATCTCGTTTTTGCTATACTTACATTTCTTTCAAAGAATTAATTTTAAAAAATGTAATAAAATCGTGTTTTTATCGTTCAAAGCACCCAAGAGCCGGGGATTCAGTCTCAAAATTGAATCTCACAATCAATTAGATTCGCACGGAGCCAACACGTGCTGGGAAATTCCTAAGTAGGTGGTTCGCTCAGTTGGACGAAAACAGAGAGAGGAGAAAGGAGCTAAATTTGCAAGGGGAGGAGGAGGAGTAGAGCCCCGGCTGGCTCTGCAGGATGGGAAGAGCGATTGGCTCCCTACCGAGGCTAATGAAGCGCTGGTGATATAATGAATTAGCTGATCCCGCCGGGCCCGCAAGCGCAATCACTCTACCCTCACCCCCCCTCCGCTCTGTTATATCCGCGAAATAATTAATCCCCTAATCGCGGAACACAGCCCCCACGATTGCGGCAGAAACTTTACTCAAAAAGTAATCTACACACCGCTGCTCACTACATGCATGTAATAATATATGCAGAGGAGCCAATTATTATACGAATGAGCGCGAAGAAAAGAAAAAACGCCATATATACCTATGTATAAACATTATAGGTTTGCACGATAAGGATAGATGGTTTTAAAGAGGTGGTGTGCGCTTGCATGCGTATATACGACGTACCTGCAACGGGGGAGGAAGGTTGGCCGGCGGCCGCCAAGATTCTGAAATATGAGGGGTTATTATGTGATGGGGCTGTACCCACAGTTCCCCGGCGGCGGTGGCGGCTCTTACGTATATACGCGTAAATAATGCAGCCACTTAGTCGGGCTACCTCCTGATTCATCCCAGCCGGGGCTAGTGTGTGTATACATATATATACGTGTGCCTTTCCGAAGTTTTTTGGCTCCTGCCCGGCACTTTCTTCTCCGCGAGCCTTGCTTTTGTTGCGAGGGCATGTTGCAAAATGAACGCAAGAATATACCCCGAGCTGCTGCTGCTGCCAACTTATTTTTTCCCACATAATCGTCTTCTTTGCGAGAAAACCGGTAATCGCTCTTGCCCAACGCCCGAGGCAAGAAACAGCCGTGGCGTTTATTAACGAGGCTTTTTCTCTTTCCGCGCCCCCTCGAAAACTACGGTATTTGCTCGATCGTTTGGTCAAAGTAATCCCCTAGCTCGCGGTGCTTGTATTTTCAAACAAATGTTACAATTTTCAGTACAATTTTAGGGAAAATGTTTTTTTTTTTTTTTTGCTCGCGAAATGGGAGCGAAGCAAGGAGATTTACTCGCGACAGTGCGGCGGGATGTTTTTTTCATGGAGAGCCCACACACACCTGTTATAAATCCCGAACGTAATCAGGCGCGAGAAAGAAGAGTAGGTGGAGAAGGGCGGCAAAGACAAAGTGCGTCTGAGGAAGCAGAGACTTTTTTTTTTTTTTTTTTTTTTCTTCAATTTTTCCCGTGATGCTCCTTTCCAGAGGGACTCCTCGAGGCTTTAAAAGCTTAGGCACACGAGCCAGGGTTGTACTATCTGCTACACGTGCTCTTCCACTTTCATCTTTGGCACGTAATAATTTTTCAAAGGGAGCCTGCGCCTCCAAGCTTTTTTAATTTGAAATTCTACTCTGGAAATTGCACAAGAGCAGATGCACTTTCAAAAAGAAAAAAAAAGGGAAGAGAAGAGAACTGATAAAGAATTTTGATGAAAAGCATGTTTACACGTGCGTAATTGAGCGCATTGCTTTTGTTTCGCAAGACAAACTCGATGTAGCGGCAGCTCGAGCAAGCCGGGCTTAATGTTATTGGAATCTCCGAAGAAAGCATGGAGTAGTGCCAGGAAAACTGGCAGACAACCACCCGCGCATTCTTTGTTGTACACCTGCCTCGCGCTGCTGTTGCTACTGAAAAGGAAAGAGCAAACGCAAGAGGCATGAAATGCGCGCAGGTTCGATCGAATCTCTTTATTTGGAAAATTAAGAAAATACCACGGAAGATGGAATTAAACATCATTGTGCATGTAATTGACAATTTTTCACGTCTAACTTGGTAAATGTTACAACGAAATATATGCTTAGTTCATTAATCTCCAAAAATTTTACATTTTTTTGCTATTTTATTGCTAAAGGATGGTTATTTTTATGCCCACAAAATCGAGCACAAAATAAAAAAGCTCAGTTAGTTTATTTTGTATCACTCTTATCATTGGTAAAGACGTATTTAAGAGTCACATATATTTCTACGTTCAACGGATTTTGTCTTGAACCCATTTAGAGTAAGACGTACGTTAGAGCGAGAACTGAACCGACTGACCTATTGATCTATACCAGCTGATATAGGTAACAACGACCTATGGAGTAAAAGTATATAAGAAGCGTAAAAAAATAGTAAAAGAATAATCAAAAACGCGTGAATGTACTATACTACTTGTTGCTCTGATCCAAAAGTTTGATTTTGCATAAAAGTTAAGCCTCTTGTTTCACCCCGTTACCCCCTTGTCCGTATGAAATTTCAAAATCATAATTAATATGATTTGTGTACTTTCTTACTGATCCAAAACTATAAGCGCATCTTGTTTCGCTCGGACTTGTTAAACATTATGGGAAGTTGGATGCAATGAAAACTAAAAATTTTTTTTTAAAAAAGCCACCACAATTTTCATCATGTCAAAGAAGATGTGCACAAGTGGCCAGAGTATTACAAGTTTTTCTGGCTGAAAAGGGCTGCACTAGACTATAGTCACTCCGATCTCACTTTTTGAGGGTACAGATGCTTTCAAGACAATTTATTCAACTGCATCTTGGCTCGGCAAGAATCTCGAGCGCATAACTACCGCTTCGCGAGAAGTCGTGAAATGTGCTCGGGTAATTTTACTCGAGTAAACCACTTTGTGCCGCTGTCGCCGTGCTAAGCGTCGAAAAAACATTCCCAAGAGTTGTCAAAAAAAAAAAAAATCGTGTTTGCAATTATTAACCGAGTCCGGTGAAAAAAAGTCACGTTACGGACTATTTTCCGCGAGACGTTTAACAAGTTTTAGCTGTAAGTCGGATTGTAAACCGTACTTTTGGGACCAAAAATTTTCAACTTCGATAAAACTGCTGCCCTTGGGGGGAAAAAAAAATATATTAGATTGGTAAGTCTCAATCACGGAAGTTTGGTAAAAGATCTTAAAGATTATCGAGATCATCAAAAATTATTGGTTTCCGAGCAAAAAACGGTCGACCTCTATTATCCTAAGCTAACAGATTGAACAAATGTGCTTACATAAATACGATATCATATATTTGTAAAAAAAAGTCTTTCTAGATTAAAAAAAATGTGATTGTGTAATCTAAAAATTTTCAAGGAATAATTGATATTTTCACCCTTTGTTGAATTGAAAATAAAAAACTCAAGGTAAAATGTATTCTTAAAACCTAAGAGTATTAATTCTCGAAAGAGTTTTTTTTTTTGTAATCGTCCCAATTGGTTTTTTGTTTTTCATAAAGAAGTAAAAGTAAAGAAAAACTTACAACAAATCAGCAGGATCGAGGGGTACTCGTTGCCGTCGTAGTTCTTGCCGCTGAGGAAAAGAAACCATTGGCGCGGGTCGACTCTGATACCGTACCTACGGGCAAAGGAAAAATCAAGAAGTGGAGAACCAGGAGCAAGAGAAAAAGAAAAAAAAAGGACTTGGCACTCGCTTCGGAGTTAGCCGGCAGCGCTCTGCGGTCATTCTTTGACTCCCACGCTATACCCGGTCGGCCGGCAAACCGTCACCCGATGTACAAGCTTGCAAGAATCGCTATTAACGTCCAACCCCAACCTCGTGGGAAGCCTTGTAAAAAAAGAGGGTCGTCCCCACGGGCTTTAACTCTCTCTCAAGTAAATAATGAAAACTTTTCTCTCGACGAGTCGAAAGCATTTTTCATCCACAACAGGAATCGGTGCTTTTTGGTCCCTTCGATCGAATTTCCATGCACTTGTTTTATCCTTCAAACAAAACCTTTCTTGCAGAATATCGTGTTCTCTCGTATATAAGCAAAAAATTGCTGTACAACCTAATGTAAGAGAGACTGTATTTTGTTTCAGGAATCATACGACTAGCTCATCGGCAGCGCGACCCCCGCTCACGCGCGTGCAGTTCCATGGCATTCCGCTTAAGATTTTGCAAAGCGACGCTCAGCCGAATGTATAAGTTATGGCCGCGTCGCAAAACCCAAGGCATATATATATATAAGGTATATACTGGACGAGATGCCGGGCATAAACTTTCGCCAAAGCCGGCTCTCTGCTCCGCACTTTGAACTTTTATCGGCGCTGGGAATGTCGCCCGTGCTGGGCTCTTTCCGGGGCAGCTCGCGTCCGTCTCTCTGATGGCTTCACCCTCTCTTTTCCAGGCTCCAACTTCGATGTAACGTAAGCGATTTCATTTTAGAAAACCCACTTCCGTGATTCTCCCCTTATGCTCTTTTGGTGACCCCCTCGATTAACTCAAACGGTGGGCAAAAGTTTACCCTGAAAAATAATTGCGAGAGTCCCCCCTTTTTTCTATATAAAAAACTGTAAATAGATTATAATTGGTTCCCATGAGTTTGGTTCAAACAGTAGTATACTCTCTCGATCCAACTTTCGCGGGTATAGTCGTAATAATGGAGTCGTCAGGCAAAGCGGCTTAGGGGAGGGATAGTCACAAATTCGGGCTCCGTTACGCTGTTGGTGGGCTTAGGAAAATCAAGTCCACCACCGGTGCAAAGCGGGGGTGTACAGCGAAAGGCGGTCCAGTTCGAAGCCGAGCAATTAAGGAGCCGAGACGAAAGTTTGCGCGGAGGAAAGTTTTACCCCCCGCTCGCGCCTCGGCTCCTTAACGAGCGTTATAAATTTTTGTTGCGCCCTCGCAGGAGAAGGAGGAGGGGCCGCTACTGTTGGCCACACCGCGGCAACCTCGAGAGCCACGATAAAAATCTCGTTGAAATTATTCATGGGCTGCGACTCGGTCTTTCAAAGTCTTCTCCCCCGACGTCGCGCTTCCGGACTCGAGATCGAGGGGCGAATAAATACCCCCGCGCTCCTTGCACTTGGCGTGCTTTCGACCGCGGGAACATTACGCTGTGCTACTTCTTCTGATCAATACAACATATACATTTCCGTACTCTGTAACGACCGCGTGATTTCGAAAAAACGGCGTTGTATTAAAATATCGAAAATAATCGTTCCCGTCTGAGTGCAATTCGAAGAGGCGTGTAACAGAGCAACACTGGCAGCGGCCCCGTCCCGCCAAACTATTCGGAAATTTAATGGAGAAGAGGGGGAGGGGGGGATGCAATTTATACCCCCAATCAAGTTAATTTTTCGGAAAACTTGCACGGCTCGCTGATGTAAAGTGTAGCAGCACGAGCTGCGCCCCTCGTGAATTTTCGGGGCTTTAAAGTTAGCAGTTCGACGTAGGCTGTGTTTGTATTTCCAAATGTAATCCCGAAACTTTGGCGCAGCTATACCCCTCGGCTCCACTTGGCTCACGAGAGCCATCCCGGACACTCAAACATCCCCGGGAACGATAATCATCGAACTAATTTCTCCTTGTGCACATACACACCCCAAGACGCATCAACGGGATAAATTGATTGGCCCAATACCGGGGGCCGCTGAGCGACTGATTCTTCCTGGAAATTCTCCGAGATTGCTCGGATGGATGCGATAGCTCGGGCAACTCGAGATCCTGCTGAGTCGCGTATGTCGAGAGCCAATCGGGCCCACCTCTCTCCCTCCGGCATCGATCAAAATTCAACATCTCTGTTTGACTCCCTCCCCCCTGCCTATATATCTATATACCTATCCGGCATATCGCTCGCTGCGCGTGGCAGCTGCTGCATCCCCCTTTACAGTGATACCGACCATGCGTGTAAAGCGTCGACACCTATAGATATGTGTGTGGCAGACGGTTTTTTTTTTTTTTTTTTTTTTTTCCATCTGTTTTTCGTTCCGTTTCTCTTTTTTCGGCTTTTACAGCTAACAGCTCTGCTCGTACGAGGGAAATCCACGGGAATGCCATTTTTTCGGCCCACCCGGGCTTTTTGTTCTCCTCTTCCACTTTTTTCGGCCTTTTAAACATCCTCTCGGCTTTTGAATCAACATTTTCGATTTTTATTTTCCAGAAAATAGATCGACTTGCTCGAATGAATAATTATTGATGATAATAATAATAATAACATTTTCGAGAACAAACGATCGCGTCGAACAGAGCTGCTGCTGCTGTCTGGGTGTTGCGAGGCAAGCTTTTTTGTTTTTTTTTGCTCTTTTTACCGCTTTGTTCGTAACACTCACTCTGACGAACGATTTCAATTAAAAAAGTTATCGGGAGCACGAAAAATTGGCTTCGTTATATATCGGTGGCGCGTACAGGAGCCAGGGGGAGGAGAATCACAAAGGTCAATCATCGAGGTTGGAACTCACTTTATGAAGTTCTCCAGTAGAAGACGAACGCCGCCGATGCCCAGCAGCAGGAAACCCCAGTTGACGAATCCCGTGAAGTTGTCGAAGCCGGAGCTCCACGAGAAGAGACTGTCCCTCGGCCTGTGGCATCTGAAACAGGTGGTATAAAGTTAAGACTTTGATTGAAGGGCGACCGATGGGGCGTGTAAAGCTTATCACATTTCATTCGGTGTGTAAGTTATTGTGTGATTTATTTATTGGGTGGCTTAAAAAGTGGAGCAAAGAGGGAGTATCGACGTTAAAGTTGCATTTGTGATTTTTTGTAAGCGCATGTTACTGAATTTTCAATATTTCGGTCGAAATGAAACTTTAGAAGAAAATTTTTTTTTTTCATCGCTATTCCTAATGCAATACTGAGGAAAAAAAATTTTTTCTAGCAGGATAAGTGCAATTCACTTTGAATATTAAAGTTTATTGTAAAATCAACATTTTAAATACTTTGACTATTTTTTTTATTTTCTACATTATTTCTTCTTCCACATTGTAGTGCATTGTTTTTGTTGCAAAAAAAAAGACATTAATACATTACAGTGTTGTAATTAGTAATTGAAAAAATTTTTTCAGCAGAAAGCATTCCAATTTGAGCAAACAATTATAGTTCAAAAATGTTGAAAAAGTACATCCGCGCCCGAGTCTGCTCGTGAAAGAAATTCGCTTGAATTTTTTTACGTACGAAAATGAAGAATAATTCTGATTAAAATATCATGCATGGATAAAGTAATTAACAACTTTGATTAAAATTCAAATAAAGACTACAAGAGCATACATCAAATTCCTCAAAGTTTGCCCGTCTGTAAGGAAGTACAGTACCGGGCATGTTTTACATTAACCCTTTCAGCTCATCTTTTCCTCTGTTCTCTACACCTACTCCTTTGATACGCTCACTCCTACGTGGGTTAGCTCATCAAGCTGCACGTATTTAAACAACAACGTCGGCGACCACGTATTTTTACTCGTCCATTTCAAGAACAGGTGAGCGCGTGTGCTCGTCAATTATGGAGGCGGAGTTTTTAATGCGGCAGGTCCGCGGAGTCAGGAAAAACGCCGTGCCTCCCTTGTCTCTTTTATTCTCAAACGCCGCACCATTTCTCGCTCGTACATTTGTAAATTTGCCTAAAAAAACAGAGATAAGCGAAATTCGCTGCAGATTTTCAAACGCACACCTGTCGGCCAGGAAAAAAAAAAAAAAAAAAAAATTCCGCTCCCAACCGACTCTGTCTGCCCTTCGCTCTTCCCGGCTAAAAATTTCCAACGTCGAGTTTGAAGAATCGCTCGCGCCAGCCACGTTCGAGCTTTTCCTCCGGCCCTACGCTCCCATTCCATGCGAAAATATATACTTACTCCTCCCGGCAGCTCATAGCTAAGACGCTCGGGATGTATTCCAAGGGCGTGCGCATGATAAATCGCGTATTCTTCGCTTCGCGCTCACCCACCCCGAGAGATGTGATGGTCTCTACCCCACCCATTGTACACATACATGTATATATATAACCATCCAGTGTACACCGCATGCACAGGGGCGACAGCAGAGTCTCCCGACGAGTTTTTGAAACGAGGGGGCTGCACTTTAAAAGCCATTTGCCCGACGACCCCTTTCTTTTTTCCACATTTTTTCGAATTACGCAAATCGCGGCCCCAAAGTGGATGACGAACTTTTTAAGCGGCCCCGAATAATACACCAGCCTCGCCGAGCTAATAATGCCGCGGGTCGGCCGCTGTTTTGATGCCCCTCCCGCGGTAGGATGAATTAGGGGGTCATTGAGAGTACTTGGGTATACTTGAGTAAAGTTGACAAAATTTGAGAAAAGTCGCGGGGTGGATTCAGTGATATTTTGCTTGGTTAACAGCCGTGAACTCTAATGCGCTTATGTTCTTACATTTGTGCTGGCGCTGATGCAGCGCGAGGAGCGTATATATGTGGATAGATATATACGTGCATGTTTATGCGAGGGAAGATGGAGACGCGGAGGAGAGCATAATACGGTGATTTATTACGGATCATTTGTCATGTTTTCATAACGCGCGGCTTGCATATACAAACTATGCTGGCTCCGCTGGTTTCGCTCCCTCTGTTTTTATTTTGCGTTTTCGTTGGGGCTTGAGCGCGCGAGAAGCAATTTTTGTTTTTTTTTCTTCTTTTCCTTTTTTTAAATTCAACTGTTTCTTTTTAACATTTAGCGTGGTTCATAAGGTTTGCACGAGGAGCATTTGAGTCGCAACAACTTTAAATTCAACGCCAACCTGTGTGGCATACTTTTATTTTTAGGAATGGAAATTTGATGCAGTTCCGCGTGAAATATTGAAAAATTAAAAATAAAGTTCAACTCGAAAAAAAAATAACGCGCTAGTCCATTCGGTGGGACAACTATACGATGGGTAGCGCTGTGCATCACGTCGGGGGCGTCAATTCCAGAAGTTTTTAAAGATTTACAAAAGTTTCGCGATTGACTGGATCCTGCGCGCCGAAGCTGCTGCGAACCGAATGGGCCAAGATTGTATAGGACGGATCTTACATCATATTATCCCCGGACTTTCACGCCCCAAAGTGAAGGGACTCCCCGGCGAAAAGTTTTCTGTGCTCTCGCTAAGGGGAAAATAAAGAACGCGTTTTGCCCATTCACGGCAACCTGTACAGCACACGTGCTCGCACCCCTTCCCTCCCTTCCCTATGTAGTTCCTCTTCGAGTAAACTTTTTTTTTTATTCTACAAAGTGAGTCGTAGGTGTACCCGCACTTTTTAAAAGTTTTTAAATAAAAACAAAAAACTTTGCCATTTTTCGTGTGTATCCAGCGGTGTTCCATCCCGTATTTGTTTTGGATAATTGCGTGCTTTACTTTCCCACCACTAAAGTCGACAAAGGTATACCTATTGCGTGTACGCTTTTAATGCAAAAAGCAGGTAGAGACAGGAGGGGAGGGAGAGAGAAAACCACGTAGGAAGAAAGAATCGCGATGCACAAAGCCAACGCGACAATAGAGCCAGACAAAAGCCAAGGTTGAAAGAACAGCCGAGAGAAAAGAGGCCGGGGGGGTACATCATATAACGGGGGTGAAAAATATAGGTATATACACGGGACGCGTTATTTCGCTTAAACATTGATATCGTTAAGAGGATTTGGGCGCTTCTGAAATTCGCTGCATTTCCGTTCGCTCCTCCCCCCCCCCCCGAATCCATTTTCCCCCTTCAAGTTCCGGTTAAATTTTAATCAGAACCCCCACCCCCAAGTACCTACTCGTATAGGGCCTGCACTTTTGTTGTTTTTGAAAGCGCGTTGTGTTTTTACCGGGAAACGAATTGATGCGGCTGCGAAAATGTATTTTTCATGGGCTGAAACTGCAAGATTGCAGTTTTTTTTTTTTTTTTCTGTTTTGCCGCGTAATAGATGTTTATTACCTCTGCATGGGTGCGTGTAGTCTACGATAAACAATTTAAAAAGCTGTGTTTGTAAGGGATTATACTGCGAGTTTTGAAAACAAGAGCAAAAGCTATACTCGTTTGGGGAAGGTAATTAGAAAACTGCGCTAAAAAAAGGTGGTTTGCATGTACACGTATACCTGCAGCTGAGTCATTACGAGCTGGTGAAATGTAAACAGCTTACACAAAGAAGCCCGTAAACATTATCATCGTTTATAAATTTACGCGATTGCACGGGAGGTTTGTATGCTTTTTTTTCTTTTTTTTTTTAATTAAAAAAGTTAAGAACGATGTCGGATGGACGTTTGTTGTAAAAGTATGATAAATCTTTTTTTGACAATTGCACGAGAGAACTGTAACGTCACCGGCGACACAATAAAAGGTAAGCGTTTCCGAGTTGTTGGCCAAGGCTGTTACGTGAAAAATAATAAAAGGGGCGAGAGGTGGAAAGGGCAATTAAGAAAGAAACTCTCCTGCTGTGCTCCATGTTGGTTCTGTGTGTATGTTTTCCTCGGGGTATATGCTGGGGAAAAAAGGGAAAGCAGCAGGTTTATATATGCACTGCTCTTTAGCCCAATAACTCTAGATGAAAAGCGGAAAAATTTAAACACAGAGGTAATAATACATCCACGTGTTTAGTTGCACTGCTGGAAAAACTTTACCCCAGGTGTAATTTAGCTTTTTTTTTTTTTTTTTTTTTAATTAATTAGCGAAAGTATAAAAAGTTGTTATTTTTTAGAAACACCGGCAAAATTACAGCTCGGGCCCCTGCGTGATATTAGTTTGTCGATTTATACGGTGAAGAGTGCACACATTACATATTCAATTGAATTATTCCGTGGAATGATTCCAGCAGTAGTGCACGTGGTAAAGGAAATGAACAAATTAGCATCAGGTGTCAGAAACAGGGAGGGCGGCGCTCAAAGGGCTTATTTCCGGGTCGGTGATGATTACAAATGAGGAGTCACTGCAAAATTCAAATACATTTGAAACAGGACGGATTATGGTGTGCTGCAGCAGTGTCAGTTGAATTACACCTCAAACGGGAAAACGAACGAACGAATGAACTTTTCTCAAAGCGTCACCTATAGATGCAACACGTCGTAGTCATAGTTTGTACCTGTACTTACATATTAGAATATACTTATGCTTTGCACTGGTATGTGGACTGGATATTACAATTTATTGCATTATGCTCAATACACCTCTAGGTCTGGTCCACTTATTTGTGGAAAAGTGGTTTAAATACCCTTAATTGGTTTCAACGGTAAAGTACTCCAATGTTATTGATTTACCATACCTATTTATATACGTTGCACTAATTAATGAGCGTTGCAAAAAAAAGTGACGCAACGATTGTACAACAATCAAAACAACCCTAAAGAAAGGATATAAGAGGAGGATCCTCCTGGAGTCACTCGTGCAGAAAGCACGCACAGATGCGACGGCTCGTGGTGTATACTAACCCCCCCGGTATAGCAAAATTACCCATCACTGCAGCGGCGAGAGCTTTCGGGAATTCACGAAGATCGCGATAATTAATAGAGCGAAGGGAAGCAGCTCGTCGACGGTTCACTTGGCACACGCACATAACGTATGCACTATACGTGTGTGTTGTAGGTATATATATGTATTTATAATAGCTCTACGGAAGAAGAGTCGACGGACGAGTATA